TGACAAGAAGACTATGATGTTAGGATGGCTAAGGAGTTTCTCAAATACAAACCACCCTGTTTTAAAATTGAGTGTTTAGGAAACAGTGAAGTCTAATGGATTTTTATTTTGAAGTCAATATAGGAATTGTGACTCCAGTTCCAGTTTACACACTTTTCCCTGTGTTTCCATGTTCTAAAAGGAGACCACAGTCACAGCAAGAATCCATAACTTGGGCCTGCCACAACTCTGGCTGCTATGAGGCTGTAAGCATGTGTTCTCCTTTTGAAGTTTAATTGATGACTGGGATATTTTAAAGATCTTGGGTAGTTTTCCATGATACCATAGGTTGCTTACTGAAGTTTGTTTGGAAGTTTATTATAATGATAAGTGATGACAATATGTTGACAATGCCATGTTGGTGGAGAAGATGGGATTTCAATAGGGACATGTCTTCTCCTTATCACAAACTACAGTAATTCTCAATTAGGATATGAACTGGCAGTTCTTCCATGTTTCTCCAAGGGCAAATGAAGTTAATTCTTTGAGGTTCTTAGGGATTACTCTAAACTAGGGGACCCACCTGTGAGACAAAAGCATGCATTCTGTAACTGAACTGGGGAATGTACCAGGCCATTTCTTTTCTATCAACAACTGTCTCCCAGATCATGACTTAGCTTAGGCTCATTTCTGGCTACATCTTTTAACTTAAATTAAGCTGTTTCTCTATCTTTTTCCTTGGGCATTTTTACCTTCCTTTAACCTTTCTTGTTACTTGTCCAATTCTCTGTCTGCTGCCTGGCTCACCCCAGAATCTCTGTCTGTTTCTCCCCTGTTCTATCCTCTTGTTCTTCTCTCTTCTCATTCTTCTCGAGCCTAGATTTCACCTCTTCTTTATTCTCTCTGCTGCCAGCTCCACCTGTCCCTCTTCTCTGTCTAGCTATTGGCTATTCAGCTCTTTATTAAACCCATCCAGTGCCTTAGGATGTTAAAATGAAACAAATGCAACACATCTTTCCATTGTTAAACAAATGCAGCATAAAGAAATGTAACATTCCTTACCAAGCTAAAGCAATATTCTGCAACATACACAAATGCAATACATCTTTGCCTGACTGAAGTAATATTTCACAACTTGGGGGCATCTTTCTTTATTTCACAACTTGGGGGAGTCTTTCTCATGGAACTTTGTCTAGTGAGCACTCATGTGCCACAGTACACATGTGGGAGTCAGAGGACAGCTAATGGCTGTCTGCTTCTCCTTCATTTGTAGATCCTGAGGTTGTCACATGTGGTGGTAGCCTGTCTCCTAGAAACAAATGGTATTGGCCCTCATTAGTTTAGTTTCAGTTGTCTGGCTTTCTTTTTGCACAATTTGTTTCCTTGACATTTTATCTCTTAAATAGCCTTTCTCTTTGCTTTTCATTTCAGTTCTCAAAAATGAATGCATTGATATTCCTTCTTGAGCTGTCTTCTTTCATTCTATCACAATAAGATTGTTTCAGAAGAATCTGTGAGGCTATTGCATGTGAGATGCATTAGTCAGTGAGTCCATGAAAATTAAGAGAAAATTGAGTTGCCCTGTCATCTCTGCACTCCTGTTTTTGTGTCAGGCTCCCCTGCCAACCCTGGGATGTTCTAACAAAATCTCCACTCAGCTACTGCCAGTGTGACTGATATTTGCAAGGGAGCAGAGCCCAGCAGGGTTGCCACAAGTGGCCCTGTGGATGAGAGAATACAGCAGGAATTGATGACACTTTTTTTTTTCTGGCGACAAAGGGATTTCCACCTTCCTGAATCAGACAACCTGTTCAAATGGGTAGGGACAATCCATGGAGCAGCGTGCACAGGATATCAAGACCTGAGGTATAAACTCTCACTAGAGTTCTCCAGTGCCTACCCTTACAATGGACCCATGGTGAAGTTCCTCACTCCCTGCTCCCACCCCATAGTAGATATGGAAGGCACATCTGCATGGACATCCTCAAGGGAAAGTGGTCCCCATTCTATGATGTCAGAACCCT